TTTGCCAGCGGCAGTGGTGCTGCCAACGGTGTGGAGAACGGCGTTTTCGACGGTTCGGCAGTGCTTGCTGCACACAATGATGCTGTGGGTGAGCACAGCATCGGGAAACTTTGCAAGGGCGCTGTAGGCAGAGCCGACGAAAGGATTTTCGCCCGCTACGGCTTCATTCGCTTTCAGCCAGGCTTCATCGCTTACAATTGGCGTCAGCGGTCCCAGCGTAGGCGGCAACGACATGGGTGCCTCCAAGCAAACCCTTGGCTGCTTAGCCACACCGCCGCCATGCACGTTACGGCTCGTTGCCTGCGAGACTGTGATCCGCGCGCCCGGTGGCTGATCAGAGGGAGCCACCTTCAGCAACCCTTTTGGTTGCGAATCGGACATCGAGGCGAGTTCAAAGCGAGCTCCCTCGATGGCCAATCATTTACCTTGATGGGATGGGGGTTATCCCGCCCCTTCTCGGTCACCAGAGCCTCGCTTCTGACGCAATGGAGGGTGGTATACGGTCCGTCCGACCTTTATTTGCAGACTCGCTCTAAACTCCGTCTAAATACTCCTCTTCCTAAAACTATGCTGTGCGTAGTGCACAGTTACCCGCTGCTCCTAGAAGTATGCAGCGCCTGTTAAATTTCCTTAACACCCTCTAGCGCCTTCCGCCAGATGTCCGCTAGCAGGACAGCTGGGTCAGCTACTATCGCGCTGCAACACTGCGACAGCTGGTTAGTCGCCAGCTGCTGGCAGTGCAACAGTGTGCCGACGCGAGCGCGTGGGCGAATCAGCAGGCAAAGAGAATAAGTGAACTTACGGCCGGTAAATTTCGCCAGCGGCAGCACGCCTTGTTGGGGTCAAAGGTCAGGGGTCGCAGCCCGAACAGTGAGGCACCTAGGCCTACACTTTGGACTAGGACTGATTCCTCACAACCCTCCAACTGCAACGATGGTGAGTGACTTCCACACCGTAGTGACCACCAAATAATGATTCAAAAACAATTTCTTGCAGTCAACTTGCAACTATAATCACGGAAAAACCGACAATCGAATAGAAAACACGTCCGCACATCCACTTTCACTTCACTTGTCTCGCTGCTTGTATGTGTGTGTGTGTGTGTGTGTGTATGTATACTTAGTTGTCCCCAACTGTTTGATATTTTGTATTGTTTGTTCTGCCTGCATTTGTAAAATGCATATTTTTAAAATCCTTGAACGCAAAATTGTAGATTTAGTTACGTAGATTACAGTCCCCAAATTTGAAATCGATCGGAAAAAAATATATAACACAAACCTTTCATTTGAAAAGGTGAATAAATATTAAAACCCCAATAATTCAAGCTCCACCACAAATTTCGAAAATCCGAGTATGCAGTTTTGCTTGTATTCTTTTAAAGATTATAAAAATCAAGTTGATTGGTGGAAAACTGAAGATTTTTCAAACAAACTTTGGAGCTCGTTTTCCTCCCATTGGAGCTCGAGTTTTCCAAGTGCGCACCTACACTATGATAGGATACTTGACCCCAAATTTCAGCTTTCTAGCTCTTACCGTTTGGGCTGTGGGCTGTTGACGCTGTTTCCTCTTGTGCCCCAAAAAAGCCCCAATAATTCAGTCTCCAAGAAAATATTCAAAAAACCAAGTATGCAGCTTTCTTTGTATTCTTTTATTGATTTTAGAAACCAAGTTTTAATTTGATCGGTCGAAAAATGACGATTTATCAAACAAACTTTGGAGCTCGTTTTCCCCCATTGGAGCTAGTTTTCCCCCCTTTGGAGCTCGAATTTTCCAAAATCCCTTCTTAGTGCGCACCTACACTATGATAGGATACTGTTGACGCGGTTTCCTTTTGTGCCCCAACATTTTTTTTACAGGAAAACTCCCATATTTCAGGCCCCAAGAAAAATTAAAATCATTTATGTTTTAAATTTGCCATTTGCTAATAGCTAAATCCAAAATTGCCAAAAGATTTGATATGATATTAAAGTCTGGTGACTGTGCTGGCGGAATCATACCGTGTGGACAGTTCCAGATCAGCCAGGTCTGCACAATTCCCGATTTATGTTTTGGGTCATTGCCTTTGTAAAATGGAAAAAGATCCCCAAACCTAACATATTGTTACTTTGGAGGTAATTAGTTTTCAATTTGGTGGGGTATATGTTCTTATCCATAATTCTTTCCTGAAAACCAATTTCCCGACTACAGGCCCAAACATGTACACCTCCTCCTCCGTGCCTAAATGTGGGAATAAGATGTTTCTTTTGATGCGGATTATTCGGCTTATGCCGTTCCCGCTTCATTCCGTCGGGCCTATAAGTATTAAATATGGTCTTGTCTGCAAAAATTATGTCGTCCCACCATGAGATTGGCTTCAGAACGAGATCCTTGAAAATTTAAAGTTGGCACATCTTATTTCTTGTGGACACAAACGGCTTCCTAAAGGTTGTCGACCATTGAAATGGTATTTCCCCAGCACACGGAGGAGAGTTTCTGCAGAGGATTTCTTTCCCAGTTTATCTTCTATTTGTACGGCCAATTTGGGGCTGATAGCATGGGGCTTTCCTTAATTTTTATACCCTGTACCTGTAGGGTAAAAAGGGTATATTAGGTTTGTGCAAAGTATGTAAGATACAGAAGGAAGCATCTCCGACCCCATAAAGTATATATATTCTTGATCAGCATGACGAGAGAAATCGATCTAGACATGTCCGTCCGTCTGTCCGTCCGTCTGTCCGTCCGTATGTCCGTCTGGATGAACGCAAGGATCTCAGAAACTATAAAAGCTAGAATAACCAAAGTTGGCATCCATATTCTCCTAGGTCCGAGAAAGGACGAGATTATTTTATTTTTTTAATTTTCCCCCCTTCCCCCGCTACAGAATTCAATAGTGTCCACATTTCAAATTCTACCTAAACCAAACTTTGCACACATAATTTATATATAATTGTCTACTGGTTTTAATCCAATTCGGTCAATTCTAAGAAAAGTTATTAGCGAAACAAATTCTCGTCAGTACAACCCCCACAAACTGCAGCAACAAGTTCGCTCTTCTTCTTCCTCTTTTTGCTGCTGCTATGGGCGCATATAACTCAGTGACGGAAGTTTACCTGGGTACAGGGTATTACACTGTCGGGCTTGCTCGACTGTAGCGTTCTTTCTTGTTTTATACTCTGTACATGAAATGTACAGAAGTATATTAGGTTTGCGGGAGCTGAAAAATGTAACAGGCAGAAGGAGGCGTGGCAGACCCCACAAAGTATATATATTCTTGATCAGCATGACGAGACGAGTCGATCTAGCCCTGTCTGTCCGACTGTCCGTCTGTCCGTCCGTATGAACACCTGGATCTCAGAGACTATAAGAGATAGAGACACCAAATTTTGCACAAAGATGCCTTACGAGTTTGTTTTATTTTTTTGGATTTCCCCCCCCACTTCCCCCCTATGGGGGTTTTCCCGATTTTCCATTCGTATAATCGCGTATATCTCGGAGACTATAAGACCTAGGAACACCATTAGTCCAAGATGACTTGTGTGAATATGCAGAAAATTTATATTTTGGAATTTCCCTCTCTCTCCCTCTTCACCGCAATTGCGATTTTCTCTAACTCCCGTAATTCTTGGAATTTCGAACTAATTTGCAAATACCCCCAATTAGTTATTATGTGTCTGTCCGTTGGATGAACGCAAGGATCTCAGAAACTATAAAAGCTAGAATAACCAAAGTTGGTATCCAGATTCTCCTAGGTCCGAGAAAGGACAAGTTTATTTTATTTTTTGGAATTTTTCCCCCCTTCCCCCGCTACAGAATTTCGTCAATAGCGTCCACATTTAAAATGCTACCTAAACCAAACTTTGCACACATAATTTTTTTATAATTATCTACTGTTGTTTAAAATTTTAATTCGGTCAATTCTAAGAAAAGTTATTAGCGAAACAAATTCTCGCCAGTACAACCCCCCCAAACTGCAGCAACAAGTTCGCTCTTCTTCTTCCTCTTTTTCCTGCTGCTATGGGCTCATATAACTCAGTGACGGAAGTTTACCTGGGTACAGGGTATTACACTGTCGGGCTTGCTCGACTGTAGCGTTATCTCTTGTTTTTTTTTAAGTGTTGTTTACTTTGGAATACACCTTGTAAAATGTACAAGAGTATATTAGGTTTGCGGGAGCTGAAAATGTAACAGGCAGAAGGAGGCGTGACAGACCCCACAAAGTTTATATATTCTTGATCAGCATGACGAGACGAGTCGATCCAGCCCTGTCTGCCTGTCTGTCTGTCCGTCTGTCTGTCTGAACAACTGGATCTCAGAGACTATAAGAGGTAGAGGCACCAAACTTTGCACAAAGATGCGTTATGTGTGTACGCTGTGCAAGTTTGTTTTATTTTTTTGATTTTCCCCCTATTTCCCCCTATGGGTGTTTTCCCGATTTTCCATTCATATAATCTCCTATATCTCGGAGACTATAAGACCTAGGAACACCAAATTTTAGTCCCAGATGCTTTATGTGAATACGCAGAAAATTTGTATTTTGGAATTTCCCTCCCTCCCCCCTCTCCCCCGCAAATCGTAACTCCCGTAATTCTTGGAATTTCGAACTAAAATTTTGTAAATACCACCAGTTAGTGATTATAATGCCAAGTTTCATAATGATGGGCCGATTTAACTGGAAGTTATAGCCATATATGTACATGAGACCAAGCAGTGCCCGTAGCTGTTGTTGTTGTAACTGCTTTCTTAAGGTACACGACACATACACAGACACACACAAACACAGACATACACGCATAATTATTCTACACTTATGTACAGAGTATTTCAATTTAGTATTTTATATTTAGTTTCTCTACTTGTTTTTTTTTATTTTTGTGGGGTGGTACAGGGTATTCAAGAGTTGAGCCTGCTCGACTTTAGCATTCCTTTCTTGTTATCTTTTCACCCTTCGGGTATAGGATATAATTATCATATAGCCTATATATAAAATAAATATCATATTAAATTATACTCCATCTTTTCAGTATAAACAAGAGCAAATTCTTTACACTCATGTTGAATTTACCGATAATTCATTATGCCTGGAATTAATAGAAAAGCCTCCAAGATGTATTTTTAAACTTCTGACGGAACAATGTCACATGCCCAAAGGCTCGGATATCGCATACCTAAATAATATGCATTCCGAGTTCGAGTTCAATCCACATTATATAAAAGGCTCGGATCGTCGGCATTGGGAAACTGAGTTCGGCATTAAGCACTATGCAGGAAAAGTAATTTATACTGCAGATGGATTTGTAGATAAAAACCGCGACGTTCAACAGGATGTCTTATTTGATTTAATGAGTCGTAGCAAACATATTTTTGTACAAGACCTTTGCTCATACCAGGTAAGACATATTTCAATAAATAAATCAATATATATATATATATATATATATATATATATATATATATATATATATATATATATATATATATATATATATATATATACATATATACATTTAACTACTTAAAATTTTTTTTTTTAGGATCAGCAACATTTAAATGTAATAGTAAATTCAGCTTCGAGTTCAAGGGGAACGAGTAAGGCTAAATATACAGTTAGTGATAACTTTCGATATCAACTCCAAACACTAATTGATGTTCTTCAACTTACAAATCCCTGGTAAGATATATTTACTTTTTACACCCTCTACCCAAGGAGTAAAAGGGTATACTAGATTTGTGAGATTTGTGTATGGAACACACAGAAGGAGGAATGGCAGATCCCACAAAGTATATTCTGGATCGATATAGCCATGTCCGGCCATCCGTCCTTCTGTCTGAATGAACGCCTAGATTTTGGAAACGGGTGAGCGCCCATTAACCTAATTTGGTAGGTGGACTCACCTAGTTTCCTAGTCAATACGAGTTTATTATAGGAAACTATATATGTTGCCAAAGCGTGAGAGGATATACTAGTCATGTCCGTCAATATAGCCATGTCCGTCTGCCTTTCTGGCGTAGGAGATGCTTCATTCTGCCTTTGCACAAACCTATTATACCCTTTTTATCCTACGAGTACAGGGTATAACAAGAAAAACCCTACAGTAGTACTGGAGTGTAATTGTTTCTCTAATTACTTTTCTTGGAATTGACTGATTTTAATGAAACTTAAAACAAAAGTAGATAGCTTTCAAAATGTGGACAGTGTTGACGAAATTCTGTAGCGAGGAGAGAGTGTATAAACACCTGCATCTCGCATATGCCATATGTGTGTACGCAGTATGAGTTTGTTTAAGTTTAGCTTTTCCATTTGTTATACCCTGTACCCAATGGGTAAAAGGGGTATATTAGTTTTGTGCGAGAGTGTATAAGTGGCAGACCCCACACTCAGGGTGAGAATATGAGTCGATATAGCCTTGTCCCCTCCGCATCAGAGTATAAGAACTAGAATTATCAAAATTGGTATGTATATTCTCCTAAGACCGAGAAAGGGCAAGTTTGTTTGAATTTTGAACTAAAATTTGTTAGTCTCATCCAGTTAGTGATAATGTGTCCGTATATTAAGTTTTATTATGATAGATCAATTAGAAAGAAAATTATAGCCACAAATATAATTTCTACCTTAGCTCTGTAGCTGTGGGTGGGTGATTTGTTTGTTGGCATAATTCTGTACTTCACACATATGTTTCCACTTATGTATGTATGTATTGAATAATTCTTATTTAATTAATTAATTAATTTAAAATTCACAATTTTTTCTTATTTTTGAGAGTGTGTACAGTTTCTTGAGCCTGCTCGACTCTAGCATTCCTGTAAATAGTTGCTTGCTATACAGCTAGAAACTATTTACTATCAGAGGCAAACACTTAATCCCGTGTAAAATCGTCTCTGAGAGAACAAAAAAGGAAACAAACCAATACTTAAATTTCCGATTTCATCCCAATTTTATTTCTGAAATTCTTTCAGTACAGTATAGTATACAATATACAATATAAAATTTTTGTCTTATTTACTAGTTTTTTCTTATGTACTAATAATTTAATATTTGACACTTTCTTATTCTCTAAACATTGTACTTACTCTAATTTTACTTTTTTTTGTCTTATTCTATCTTAATCGTGTCAAGTGGTTTTCCCCTCCATATGTATTTGAAGCCTTTCTTATCTAGTGCATTGCGCACCCTCCCTTAAGCGCTGTCGCTCCATATGCATATGCATTCCTTGCTATCTACAATGCGTTGGCCTGTAGCGCTGCTGCATGTGGCTATTTATACTCTGTACATGAAATGAGTATATTAGGTTTGCGCGAGCTGAAAAATGTAACAGGCAGAAGGAGGCGTGGCAGACCCCACAAAGTATATATATTCTTGATCAGCATGACGAGACGAGTCGATCTAGCCCTGTCTGTCTGTCTGTCCGTCTGTCCGTCCGTATGATCACCTAGATCTCAGAGACTATAAGAGCTAGAGACACAAAATTTTACACAAAGATGCCTTATGTGTGTACGCTATACGAGTTTGTTTTATTTTTTTGATTTTCCCCCCCACTTCCCCCCAATTTTCCATTCGTATAATCGCCTATATCTCGGAGACTATAAGACCTAGGAACACCCAGATACCTTATATGAATACGCAGAAAATGTATATTTTGGAATTTCCCTCCCTCCCCCCTCTACCACGCAAATCGTAACTCCCGTTATTCTGGGAATTTCGAACTACAATTTTGCACATACCCCCAGTTGGTTATTATGTGTCCGTATGCCAAGTTTCACTATGATATACCGATTTAACAAGAAGTTATAGCCGTACATATATTTGCTGCTCAAGCGCTGCTACAGCGCTGCCCGCGACTGTTGTTGATGCTGGTGCTTTGGTTGACTGCACATATGTTTACACAGACACGAATAGATGCGCATAGGCATACATACACTCACACAGACGCAATTGCTATGTAAATGTGCAATTATACACCCTTTACGTGAGTTCGAATACCAAAAGAGGTAAAATATATCAAATTTTTTTTTATTTTTTATATATATATATATATATATATATATATATATATATATATATATATATATATATATATATATATATATATATATATACATATATACATTTAACTACTTAAAATTTTTTTTTTTAGGATCAGCAACATTTAAATGTAATAGTAAATTCAGCTTCGAGTTCAAGGGGAACGAGTAAGGCTAAATATACAGTTAGTGATAACTTTCGATATCAACTCCAAACACTAATTGATGTTCTTCAACTTACAAATCCCTGGTAAGATATATTTACTTTTTACACCCTCTACCCAAGGAGTAAAAGGGTATACTAGATTTGTGAGATTTGTGTATGGAACACACAGAAGGAGGAATGGCAGATCCCACAAAGTATATTCTGGATCGATATAGCCATGTCCGGCCATCCGTCCTTCTGTCTGAATGAACGCCTAGATTTTGGAAACGGGTGAGCGCCCATTAACCTAATTTGGTAGGTGGACTCACCTAGTTTCCTAGTCAATACGAGTTTATTATAGGAAACTATATATGTTGCCAAAGCGTGAGAGGATATACTAGTCATGTCCGTCAATATAGCCATGTCCGTCTGCCTTTCTGGCGTAGGAGATGCTTCATTCTGCCTTTGCACAAACCTATTATACCCTTTTTATCCTACGAGTACAGGGTATAACAAGAAAAACCCTACAGTAGTACTGGAGTGTAATTGTTTCTCTAATTACTTTTCTTGGAATTGACTGATTTTAATGAAACTTAAAACAAAAGTAGATAGCTTTCAAAATGTGGACAGTGTTGACGAAATTCTGTAGCGAGGAGAGAGTGTATAAACACCTGCATCTCGCATATGCCATATGTGTGTACGCAGTATGAGTTTGTTTAAGTTTAGCTTTTCCATTTGTTATACCCTGTACCCAATGGGTAAAAGGGGTATATTAGTTTTGTGCGAGAGTGTATAAGTGGCAGACCCCACACTCAGGGTGAGAATATGAGTCGATATAGCCTTGTCCCCTCCGCATCAGAGTATAAGAACTAGAATTATCAAAATTGGTATGTATATTCTCCTAAGACCGAGAAAGGGCAAGTTTGTTTGAATTTTGAACTAAAATTTGTTAGTCTCATCCAGTTAGTGATAATGTGTCCGTATATTAAGTTTTATTATGATAGATCAATTAGAAAGAAAATTATAGCCACAAATATAATTTCTACCTTAGCTCTGTAGCTGTGGGTGGGTGATTTGTTTGTTGGCATAATTCTGTACTTCACACATATGTTTCCACTTATGTATGTATGTATTGAATAATTCTTATTTAATTAATTAATTAATTTAAAATTCACAATTTTTTCTTATTTTTGAGAGTGTGTACAGTTTCTTGAGCCTGCTCGACTCTAGCATTCCTGTAAATAGTTGCTTGCTATACAGCTAGAAACTATTTACTATCAGAGGCAAACACTTAATCCCGTGTAAAATCGTCTCTGAGAGAACAAAAAAGGAAACAAACCAATACTTAAATTTCCGATTTCATCCCAATTTTATTTCTGAAATTCTTTCAGTACAGTATAGTATACAATATACAATATAAAATTTTTGTCTTATTTACTAGTTTTTTCTTATGTACTAATAATTTAATATTTGACACTTTCTTATTCTCTAAACATTGTACTTACTCTAATTTTACTTTTTTTTGTCTTATTCTATCTTAATCGTGTCAAGTGGTTTTCCCCTCCATATGTATTTGAAGCCTTTCTTATCTAGTGCATTGCGCACCCTCCCTTAAGCGCTGTCGCTCCATATGCATATGCATTCCTTGCTATCTACAATGCGTTGGCCTGTAGCGCTGCTGCATGTGGCTATTTATACTCTGTACATGAAATGAGTATATTAGGTTTGCGCGAGCTGAAAAATGTAACAGGCAGAAGGAGGCGTGGCAGACCCCACAAAGTATATATATTCTTGATCAGCATGACGAGACGAGTCGATCTAGCCCTGTCTGTCTGTCTGTCCGTCTGTCCGTCCGTATGATCACCTAGATCTCAGAGACTATAAGAGCTAGAGACACAAAATTTTACACAAAGATGCCTTATGTGTGTACGCTATACGAGTTTGTTTTATTTTTTTGATTTTCCCCCCCACTTCCCCCCAATTTTCCATTCGTATAATCGCCTATATCTCGGAGACTATAAGACCTAGGAACACCCAGATACCTTATATGAATACGCAGAAAATGTATATTTTGGAATTTCCCTCCCTCCCCCCTCTACCACGCAAATCGTAACTCCCGTTATTCTGGGAATTTCGAACTACAATTTTGCACATACCCCCAGTTGGTTATTATGTGTCCGTATGCCAAGTTTCACTATGATATACCGATTTAACAAGAAGTTATAGCCGTACATATATTTGCTGCTCAAGCGCTGCTACAGCGCTGCCCGCGACTGTTGTTGATGCTGGTGCTTTGGTTGACTGCACATATGTTTACACAGACACGAATAGATGCGCATAGGCATACATACACTCACACAGACGCAATTGCTATGTAAATGTGCAATTATACACCCTTTACGTGAGTTCGAATACCAAAAGAGGTAAAATATATCAAATTTTTTTTTTATTTTCCTAATTTTTTTTTTATTTTCTATAATTATTGTAAACATATGTACAGAGTA